AGTAAGAAATCAGTTAGAGTCTCTCTCTGTGATTTGTCCTAGTAATGAGTGACAATAAGATGGTAGCTGTGGAGGTGATGAGAATTGACCATATTGGGGATATATTTTGAGAGTGGAATGGACAAGACTTGCAAATCATTTGCATTTGGGATAAGACAGGAGTCAAGTTTGACTCCTAGACTTGTACTCTGAGCATTTGGGTGAAGGGTGAAACTACCTACCATGGAGTTGGTTGCGCAGCAGGACAGTAAGTCAAGAGTTGGCTTTGGTACTTGTTCATTTTGAGTTGCCTGTGGGATGTCAAGTAGGCAGTTAAATGTAGGAAACTATATCCTCAGTGGAACAGTTGAGGTTTAGACATACACATTCAAGATTCATCTTGGTGTAGGAGGTTTTTAAGAGGCTGATTGAAATCAACTAGGGTGAGGATGTAGATTAGTGAAGGTCCCAGGCTGAAACCCTAAAGCACTGAAGGAGGTACAGAAAGAGTGGCCAGGCAGTGGGGAGAAACCAGAAGCATACTGCATGGAATTCATTGGGAGTATGTTAGGTTCTGATTGTCGATTTTGTTGACTATACTTAGCCCTAGGGGGTTTTTTTTGATGTGTAATGTTTTGGAAATTTCAGGCTCAATGTGAATGAGATTTTTGTTTTCTGGAATTCATTGGGAGTATGTTAGGTTCTGATTGTCGATTTTGTTGACTATACTTAGCCCTAGGGGTTTTTTTTTGATGTGTAATGTTTTGGAAATTTCAGGCTCAATGTGAATGAGATTTTTGTTTTCATTTCTTTCATTGTGACCTTGCACAACAACCCAGCCTCAGTTGTAGTCAGTCCTAGCCCCATTCCTTGGAGTCTGCTGGCATCCCAGCTGCTGTACCCTGTTTCTTGTCACCTTCACACCCCTTTATCCTACAGAGGCTGAACATCATTTGCCCCTGCTTGCTTCCTATCCAGATAGCAATTTATACTGGTTCATTTCTGGTCCACAGAGATATTTGAGCCTGGGTATTTTTTATTTTATTTTATTTTTTAAAAACTCCTTATACTTCATTATTATTGGTACATATTTGGAGCAAGGTGGTATTTCAAAACCGTGGATCCACTGTGCTATGCCATACTAACCAGTAGTCTTCATACCCTGAATTTCTGTCTGTCCTTGATTTTATATTCCTTCTTTAAAAAAATTATGTTTTTAGACCAAAAAACTTAACATTTAATAGATCTTTCATTATCCCTGTTCAGGTGTCTCTATTTTTTTATCATTGTTCCAATTTTTCACATCTGTTGTTTTCCTTCACTTTTATGCTTCTGGAAGTCAAATGCCTACTGTAAGTTAGTTTTCAAAAAAATGGGACTTTTAATGTATTATCCCAAAACATTAGTATCGCCAGGGCTTTTAGACAGAAGGATATTATTCAGACTAGTCTGATTATTGCATCTACTTATCAGGATAGGATGAGGATATTGTTTTAGCCTAACTCAATTTATTGCTGCTAATACATACAGATTGGGAAATGGTAAGTTGGAAACAAATAATATGTGCACAGGATACTTGCCTTGACATCATCTTAGTTTTAATGTAATGAAAATCCTTTAATACATGCTTGGATATTTACACAGGGTAAATTAAATGTGAAAAATCGTTATCTCTGTAAAATTTAAAGATACCTGACCCTTCATAAGTACACTTATGACCAAGAGTGCTGTAGTGGCAGTCAGGGAAGGGGGTAGGATTAATCCTGCCAGGCAGAACACTCATGCCCCTAAGATATTTTCCAGATAAATCACATGGAGTAGAGCTGGAGAATACATGGGATGGCTGTAATGTTACAGTGTATGACAATTAATCCCATTCACTGTGATATAATTAATGAGAATGGTGAAATAGAAGTGCAATCATTTCTCCAAGAGGAAATGTCAGCCCATTAATGAGGATAAGGCCTATTATTGTCAGTTGAAGCAGCAGATTTTTGAAGCAGCAGCTATTCAAAATTGCTGAGTTGGTGCGTTCACAGAGGTAGGTGTTCATTTCAGTCCCTAACAAAGGGAGGGACTTTTTTGGTGGGTTTTCTTTTTTTTCTTTTTTTTTTTACACCGGTGATGGCATTTTGACATGACTGCAGTTCTGGACACTATAATAAAAATTTAGTAAGCATAAAATATAAATATTCTAAATATAACTAACTGGCATTTTAAAAGAGTAGTACCCAACTTAAGCATTTATATATGTATATAAAATCAAATCTTCAAATAGCCTTTTATTAGTAGTATTATGTTAATATGTTAAAACTGGAATCCATTTGTTACTATGTGCTATAGATTACTTACCCATTTTCCTTGTGACTGTGTGTTAGACCAGAGTGAGTTGAACTCAGTCTAAGAAATACTATCCCTTTATTAGGTTGTTGGAAGAATACCTTATGCTACTAGAGCAGCTTTCTAGGATGTATATAATAATTCTTTAAAAAGTTGGAAAATGATGAACTGAGACAATCACACAATGATGGATTGGGAGGCCAAGGGTTTTTGCCAGCTTATATGTTGATGTTTCCCAAATACTAAAGCATTAATGAATTTGTTAATTGCTTTTGCTACGTAAATCATTTTGGCAACTTAGGGATTCTCTGTTATTTCTTTGAATAACTTTATTGCCATTGTGGAACAAATAGCAGCATTGCTGAAAATTTTATGGAATCTTGCATTTGTTAAATACTTAAGACACATTGTATTGCTGATGTTCAGAAAATGTAGGCAACCTTTAGAAATAACAGGATTTTGGTATTGGTTTTGTTAAATGTTTATAGTTCGCTGTCTGTAAAAAGTACAATTTTGCTATTTACAAAGTTCTTTCTAGCAGCTAGTGAGCTGACATATCTTTTGGTGGATTGGCAGTAAAAACTGGGAATCAAGCTTTTAAACTTAGTTATGTATTATTATGGTAAATTTTCAAGAGCTGTTCTGTATACACCGTTATTTTTTTATATATGATCGTGATTTTTTTCTCCTAATAGCAGGTAAAGGAATAAACACTCCTTAAATTATTTTAAGTGTTTAAGATAAAATTTTACACTTTTGCTTGTTTTGTAACTTTACTACCAGCAATTGATATTGGATTTAATAGTTTAGTTGTTCAGAGGACTGTAATTGCAGGGGTTTTTTGGTTTTTTGGTTTTTTTGACAGCTGGCTGGTATGGGGATCTGAACCCTTGACCTTGGTGTTATCAGCACCAGGGTTAAAGTGAGCTAATCAGCCAGTCCCTTAATTGCAGTTAATGTCATATCATATCATACCAATAGGGCTAATTTGCCTAATGGAGATTATATTCTGTGTACCTCTTTCTTTTATTCAGGTTTCATAAGAGATATAACACTGTTTTGTTCCTTGGTGTACCCGTGTCTTAGTCGGGCACTCACAGGACACACTTAGCATTTTTTGAGACCACATTGTTGAAATTGATTGAGACAGAGTTTAGTTTTCTTTTGTTTATTTTTTTCCTTTTCTAATGGTGTTTTTGAAAACTCCAATTAGCAAGAATTTCTGTTTTTAATAAAGTTCATGTTAAAATTCTTTTTCCTATAAAAATTAATGAAAACCTATTACAAAAAGTTAAGAGTTAAGATTCCTTCTTTGTTGACATAAGCAGCCTGAAATATGTAGCTAACTAAATTGCATCAAATTTCCGAGACTAATAACCATGCAGTTGAGGAAAGGGAGCTTTTACACCACCTGTACTCTGAGAGAGTAATGTAATTAGAGGTAGTGATATTTCAGTGTAATTTGTTAATGGGCACATTCTACAAAAAAGAGAATAATTCTGCCTGAGCACTGATAATTTTATATATTTTTAGTTGGGTTCTCTAAAAAGAAAGAGTTTTCATAGAATTTCATGGCATAGAGGTGCTTGGAGGAAGAATATCAATGAAGTGGAGAACAGTTTAAATTTTTTTGAGTTATTGGAATGCATACAAGGGAGAATGCAATAATGTTATTGCTTTTCCGATAGTTTAATATATAAAATTGTATGCATAGCATTATTGGGTTATTGGAAATCTAAATTTAACATTTTTGATGTCATAATCATTCTTCTATATTATCCCTACTTCTGTTTTGATTTTTTTTTCAATTTCAAATCAGAGAAGAATATCATAGTGCTTTATTCCTTTTTTGTTTTTTTTTAATTTGTGGCAACTTATACACAGATGTTAGTTACATATTACGTTACTTTCCTAGAAAGAAAGTGAAATAACAGCTTCTGTAATGGATTTCATAACATTTTTGGGAGCAATATAATAAAACTTTCTTTTGGTGGAGAAATATCAAGAGTTTTAGGAAAAAACAATATTTTGGTTTTATGAATTTAACCTATAATGTTTGATTCTGATTTATTTCATTTTTGTAGACATTTCATCGTAATTGTACTGTGTTGAGAGTGTTTTAGGTCACCCAAGTTGAGGCCTTATCAGACATGCTAGACCAGGATGTGCCGTACTAACAACCACTGGTTTTCTGTGCTTAATATGAAAACATCGATTCTCATTCATGGAAAGTTCACAGTGTGTGTGGATGACTCTCAGGCAGCTCTCCCTGAGGTGGCTCACTCATCCCATGGGTTCGATGTTGTATTACCTCTCTCTAACATGTTTTTTCATAATTGCCACTGTAGAAGAAGAGGCCATCAACTTTGAAATGCTTCTGCTGGAGAGTGATAGGTGTCACTTCAACCCCCAGATTTTATTGGCCACATGATCATGCCTGATGTCAAGGGAGATGAGAAGTGTAATCTTCCTGAGTGTCTAGGAGGGGAGAAAACCTGAAGATATTGCTGAGTAATACTAATGCCCTCATAAGGCTTAATACTCAGGAGTGTGGCAGAAGAGACCAGCATTTCACAGCCAGAATGCCATGAGTGGGGTACAGGTGTGCTGCCGATACTCACTTCACCTTGTTTTTTTTTTAGTTTTACTGTGTGGCTACTAGAATAGGCAAAATAACATGGATGGCTGACATTCTATTTCTGTTGGACAGTGCTGCCTTCCAGGCTGTTGGTAGGTAGCTCCCTGTACTGAGAGGAGTACAATTCCCCATTATCAGGAGGATGATCTCCAGGGTAGTACAGAATGTACAGAGTGGTGGTGATCTCAGGCTGCAAATGTTCTAACAGGGCCTTGGCATGCCTGCCCCCACTACCTCTGTCATTCTAGTGAGATCCTTGGAAGTCTCTCTAGAATTATACCCACTCCCCACCTCCACTGCAAGATTTCTTAGCTGATTCAAGCCACTATTACATTTTGATCTCCAAAGCCTTTAATAGACTTGAAAGGAAGTTAGTTATTGAAAGTAAAAGGACAGTAGTAGAAAAAGATTTTGGCTAGCACTTCAGTAGTCTCGTTTTCTGAGCAAATTATGGCCTTAATTTTATCATCTGTCCTCCCACTGAAGGTAGAAGAGTCCAAAAAACATGAAATTATTTGGTTGAAAATGCAGCATGGGTCAGACAAAGCATGTCTGAAAACTAGATCAAGCCTCTCAGCATGTACCTCTTCTCTGCAATTTAAAGTTTTGCACAAAAATCCAGGTTTCTAGATTTTTGATAAAGCTATTTATTGGCCAATAGTAGTTATTGGTCAGTGAAGTCTAGTGACTCATCTGGTGACCCTGTCCCCAATGATCAAGATGCTAATTAGGTAATAAAATAATGATACCCTCAAACTGGAATTCAGTTGCCCTCAGACTTTTTTATAGTGATAAAAATATGAAGATGTTTTAGTAATAAAACAGTTAAAAATTAATTTACAAGAGTTAAAATTACACTTCAGTGCTTTTTTATGGTTCTCTCTAAAAACTTCTTGTAATTGGAAGTTTTTATTTTCTCTTTTTTTCCTAAGACTTACGTAGACTCATTGTGGGAGACATCTCCTCCCACACAGCATCTCCTTAGATTGTGTCCCTGGCCAAAAACTTACCCACAGAGCAGGCAAATATCCCCCTTTCCCACCGAATCCTTCCTAACTAATACTAATCTACTTTACATTGATACTAATTTACTTTAGTATTAATGTATTTATCCTAAGTGAAGATTTTATGTATTGATTTTATTATTCTTTTAATTTGCTTGTAATTTTGCTCATATTTTTCACTATTCTAAAATAGAAGACATATAAATTGTATCATTTAATGTTTTTGTGAAGTATCAGAGAGTCGCCATTAATTTTGTTGATTTTCTCAATTGCTTATTTCTTCTTTTCTTTTTTTTTTTTTCTTTTTTTCTCTCTGCTTTCTTTCCTTTCTTTTGGATTTTAAGGTTAACAGTTAGTTGAAAGTTTTACTCTGTATGGAAATCAATAACTAACTTTTATGTTTTTGAATTAGAGTGTTTTTATAATATGAAATACATATTAGCTTTCAGAAAAAAATTTCTCAGAATTAAATGAATTGGTTCCTCTGGACATAAAATTCACTAAATTACCAAAAAGGACTGTAAGTTACAGATTTGATTGTTATCACGATATTTTTGATTATCCAAGAATATAAAAAATGATTGTATTTTATATTTTTAGACTTTTAATTATTAAATTAAGTGAATATTATTCAATTATTCTAATTTAGATTGCTGTATGTTTAACTTTCAAGCTTTCTCTGTGCTTTATTTTGAAGCATTTTAAAAATACAGATCATCTTATATATCACATATATTTTTATATTTTATATCATTTTATTTGTCCATATATTGTATATTATTTACAAATAGTTTTTCTGAAGTTATACGTGCTTGCAGTCTGTTTTGTCTTTAGATTCAATTTTTTCATATGTTTACTTTCCCAACATACCGAATAATTTATGAATGAAAGCTGGAAAGACTTCGGCATTACTAGAATTCACCCTTCAAATGATTAAGATACTAATTTGGTAATATAATAATGATTTCCTCAAATTGGAATTCATGTGCCCTTATAATTATTCTGACATGTGGGCTAAATGCTTTTTTTGCATGCAAAAGTGATCAAGTGAAACTACTTGCATGACAAATTTTTGTGGGTGATGTACCACAAAACGGCCGTCTTTGGCAGTAGTTTTGGACTCTGTTAAGCAGAAAGTAAGAAAGTTCCATTATGAAACTGAGTACAGCAGTACATGATCGAGTTTGAAAAGCCATTTGCCAGATTTCACATTTAATACTTTAAGCCAAAATGCCTCCTACATTTGCAGAATTCCTTATTTTACCAGCCTACATATATATCATCAGTATTATACTAGGAATTAGTGAAACAGATGAAATAAAAAAGGAATCATATCTCATAATACTACTAGGACAGGCAGTGGTGGCATGTCACACATCATAGTGACAGTGCTAGTCAAACAGACTATTAATAAAGAAATCATTGTGTATTGATGACTTTAAGGCATCAATAAATATGCTAGTTAATAACACTCGTTAGAATCCTTGAAGATCATCAGTTATTCTGAAAAAGAAATCAAAAGAAACTTCTGTATATTATGCATGCAAAGAGGCAAGTGAATACTTTTAAACAAGATGTTAGGCAGACTCACATGAGGATGATGCTCTGGGCCTAGCGGTATGAAGGTATAAAGGCTATAAATGGCACGAAGTTACGTAAATGTCAAGAGTTTATTCAGAGAGCCCTGTGAGTCTCCGTAAGTTTTACTCAAAGAAGCTCTTGTAAATGGAAGTTTGCTTATAAATCTTAATTCCACATAAATTGGTAAGAAAATATGAATCTAAGTAAATAGCTACAGCTTTATGCAAAGACAAAGTATTAGAATATCATATTTACTGATATATACTAAGGTACACAAGCTGTCTAAAAGACACCTTTACCCCCCAGGAGTTTATTAGCTTATAAAAAAATGGATTGTGAATGTATTTGAATGCTACTCACTGTAAAATTGTTAAAGGAGAGTTATTCACTTGAAAAAATAGTTTACTTACCTGACATTTTGGAGCACCTGAGTGAACTTAATTGAAAAATGCAAAGGCTGTGTAAAAACATATTATACGTACAGAGTTTAGAGATTGGAAGCAAAAATTCAGCTTGGAGAAAGGATGAAAATGACTCACTTGCGATATTTAGTTGGTGTTATATTTAAATCCTAACGAAAAATTGCTAAGACTATTAGAGCAATACCTATGAATGCCTGTGGTAAAGTTTCACTCATTATTTTGAAGTGCTTAATAGGAAAAATTGAAAAACATATGCATTTCCACAAAAAATTTCAACATTTCATTTGCCAATGTAAGAAAAGGAAAGGATGTGAAATTTAATAAATTTTATTCCTCATGGCTCATGACAAGAAAGAACTTCCTGTTATTTGGAGAAAAAGTGATACATACTGTGCTACTTTGTGCTGCCACCAACTTTTGTGAATAAGCTTTTCATTGATGGTAATTATCAAAAATTTGATATTTCAATCATAAACTTATTACAAAAAATATTTCGTGAACACATGCTCATTAAAGATTTTTAAAATATTTTAGTTGGAGGTTTTATGCATATTAAATAGTTAATATATTCCCTAAAACTTCTTATTTCATTTTTCTTATAATAATTATATGCTATAAAGAAAATGTAATGACTTTTCAGCAAGTTACGTACAGATACTCCCAAACTATCTCTAAGTTTATCAAGGATTGATAGGCCCTGGAATGGCTACTAAGTTATCCTAGAAAAAAGTTGTTTCTCAAATTGAAACTTAAAAAGAGCCCAGGGTGGCAAAAGAAAATCTAAGCAAATTTTTCAGATTTATGAGCAAACTTGCTACTTGGTAACCATTCTCCATTAGAATCTATATGTAAAAATACTGTGAAATACTTTTGAGACAGTTCCTCCCTCCCATATCTTCATTAATAGATGTCTACCTCCTTAATAAATATTGTTCTGTGTCTGTGGAAAGCAATTTCTGTTAATACTGTGAAACTATTTCTATTTTCCCAATATGCCTTCAAAAATAACAATTAATGTGGGGAAAAAACAATAAAAAGTGAAAGGCATATTTAAACATGAAAGTATTTTACAGTGTTCCCTTATGATTTTTTCCAAATATGGTATGATATTTTACTTGAGCAAAAATTATGAACCATGTGTGAGTATTTGCACATTTGCATTCATATGGTTTATGCATTGCTATTAATTACTAATACACTTAATATATAAGATTCATGGTTTCCTCTTAATATTTTATAAGGATATTATGGTTAATATTAGTGAGATGTTGCTTTAAGAGTAAAAAATACTTTTAAATAATTATTTCCCTGGTGTTTAATTTTGTTCTAATCATGTTAACAAAGTTTTATGTAGGCTAGAACACAGTAACTACATATTATGTATTTAAACTATGCAATAGCTCTATTAAACTTTTTGTTTAAAACACTGATATTTTCTGCCACGAACATTTGTGTGTAGACTTGTTTTAAATTTGATTAATACAGTGGATCAAGCCTGTTTTTTCAGTTGTATTAGGAAATATTTTTCTTTTTTCCTATGTTGTGAAATGCTGGAGTTTCTACTTTGGGTCATTTGAGCACTTAAGCAAAATTAATGCTTTTATGTAAGGAAGATTTGTCAGAAAAATATTTTAAGTCAAGTTTTTTGTTATTTTTAAAATAATAGGATGTCAACTTTATTACATGTCTGATAAATGTTTTCTTTAAACACCAACTCAGTAATTCCATACTTAGGATATTATGTAAAATTGTTGATTAAATTATGTTATCCAACTCTGAGTACTGTCAGCTTGAGGCAATTTATTGGAACTCATGTTTGGAAGAGATTGAAGATATTGACACCTAATCATTCCCTTCAGATATCTAATAACATAGCTGGTTAGACCATTACCTCTAAGGAAGCTTTTGTTTTGTCTTAATTAATAAACTTTACTTTTTAGACCACTTTTATGTTTACAGAAAACTTGAATGAAAATTACAGAATTCCATATATCTCCCTCCCGGAACCCCCCACATATCCCCTATTATCCCTTATTATTAACATTTTGCATTAATGTAGTACATTTGTTTCAATTGATAAGCCAATAATGACACATTATTCTTAACTATAGTCCATAATTTAAAATAGAGTTCATTCTTTGTGTTGTAGAGTTTTTGCCAAAAACATAATGTTATGTATCCACTATTACAGTATCATATGGAATAGTTTCACAGCTAAGGATGCATTTTAATTTAAGATAAATTTGTCATCACCTATACTTAAAAGCCCATATATTAAAAAATTATAAAGCTGCTTCATGTTTTCCAAAGTACAAATTAAACATCGTGTGCATTATGTTCCTCAGAGTTCTTAACCTGCTGTTCATTAGGAGAATGTTTTAATAACAGAAGCAGGTTGATTTCAAGGAACTATATATTTCTTCTTAAACGAGTCAAATGCTCATGACATTTACCTTATTTTCTTCATTTTCAAAGTTAAATTTTAAATCTAATTTTAATAATTCTAATAACGACATCATATCTCTTTCTCTCTTCCAAATGGTTTCTGTCCACTCTCATTTTTCTTTAAACTGAAAATTTTTTTTTTTTTTTTTGTCTTTTGTCTTTTTCCGTGTCCGGCAACGGATCGCAACCCTCAGTGTTGCTCCCGTACCGGACCGGGGACCGGCAACGGGATTGCAACCCTCGGTGTTGCTCCCGCGCCTCGCTCAGCCAGTGAGCGGGAACCGGTCCGTATGTGGGATCCGAACCCTCGGGCAGGAGCGCTGCCGCGCTTCCCAAGCGGCGCACTATCCAGTGCGCCACCGGGCCGGCCCCTAAACTGAAAATATTTTTGAAAAGCTAAATCTATAAATATACTTTATAAATTATAAATATATATTAATGGTATATCTAAGATTCTATAACATAGAAATTTTCCACTTTTTCTATTAACTTTTAAGTTTCTGTAAAACAAACAAACAAAAAAAAAACAAATCCTCTTGAGTAAGTTTGAGTGCTTGGTCCTCGGGCAGAGGTGAATCTTGTCAAATTTGAGAATATATTCCTAGTTGCTTCTAAGTCACAGGTGAACAAGACAACAGGCAATCCAACCAGTGGATAATAAATAGAATTCCCATGTTACCCATTGATGGTAGTAAGCTTTTTAATTTGTGTGACTTGAAAATAATAAAACATGATTAACATTGATGAAGCATGTAACCATTAGCCAGGCACTGTGCATGGATAACTTCATACCCACAGCTGAAGTCAGGACTAACATTTCACCAAGGAGTACTTTTTCAGTTGACAATTGATTTATCCTTATTTCAGGTATTGATTCTACTGGTTGCGTGTACAGTGGGAATTATGTAATACCGCACATTTCTTTGAGCCTCAATAATGCTGAAGAAGTTTGCTTATTTTGATATTAGAGCAAATGAGAATAGCCTTTGTTATAAAATTCTAGAAAAATATAATAGATATATTAATCCAATTCATATTGGTTACAGGTTAGGGACATAGGTGGCAGAAAAACTTATTGACTTTAAATGACTGATCTTTATACAGTTTCCTCCCAGGTGTTTTCTCCAGTGTCAGAGTCTTTGAGGTCAGTTCATCTCATTCATAGGATGTATAGTGACCCTTTGTAGAAAAAGGCACATTTTTTTTCTTCTTTGCAAATGCATTTTTCCCCCAGAGGCCTCTTTCTTTCCTTCCCAAAGCACTCTGACACCTAAATCCAAATAGGTAACTGAGTGCCACCTTAACAGTAAGAGTGACTATGAGGTCCCCTCTCCTGCCTGTCACACCCTAACCCAAACCCCATCTGAAGTAGCTCCAGCTACTGCCCTCTGTAGGACATGTAGGGTATACTCCAATTTAAGAATTACTTTTTAATATGCTATTTACTATGGTGCTCTCAAAGGTCTAACTTTGGCATTCTCTTCACAAGCATTTATCAGTCCTCTTAGCCATTTTTTAAATTTCACCATTTATTAAAGCTGTAGGTTTCAATAACTTAAGTCATGAGTTAAGTTAGATCATTTTGTTCTTTTGTAAGGGAGAGAACGACTAGGAGTCAAACAGCCATGGGCATCGATGTCTCTGAGTTTTCTTTCCCCATCTGTAGAACAGAAAAAACAATTCTCACCTCTGGAGGTTGTTGTTAAGGTTAAAGTATATAACATAATCTTAATTCAGTGTCTTGTTCAATACCTGGCATTCAATGAATATTAATTCATTTTCTTCCACTACCAACAACCTAATACAAAGCCACGTTACTTGAAGTTCCTGAGGATTCTTTTGGTTTTTTGTTGTTGTTGTTTGGTTGGTTTTTTGCTAAATGTGGCTATAGTAGGCTGTGCATTTGTCTAAGTTTCCAGTCTATTTTCTAGCTTTCTGAAAAGTTGTAAGAAATTAATAGATATTTAATGAGCATTTATACCGTCCCTATCACTGTTAAGTGTCATAGGGTAAGAAATTAATAGATATTTAATGAGCATTTATACCGTCCCTATCACTGTTAAGTGTCATAAGTGTCATAAGTGTCAAAACAAAAGAACCAAGACTGTTAAGTGTCATAAGTGTCATAAGTGTCAAAACAAAAGAACCAAGACTGTTAAGTGTCATAAGTGTCATAAGTGTCAAAACAAAAGAACCAAGACTGTTAAGTGTCATAAGTGTCATAAGTGTCAAAACAAAAGAACCAAGACTGTTAAGTGTCATAAGTGTCATAAGTGTCAAAACAAAAGAACCAAGACTGTTAAGTGTCATAAGTGTCATAAGTGTCAAAACAAAAGAACCAAGACTGTTAAGTGTCATAAGTGTCATAAGTGTCAAAACAAAAGAACCAAGACTGTTAAGTGTCATAAGTGTCATAAGTGTCAAAACAAAAGAACCAAGACTGTTAAGTGTCATAAGTGTCATAAGTGTCAAAACAAAAGAACCAAGACTGTTAAGTGTCATAAGTGTCATAAGTGTCAAAACAAAAGAACCAAGACTGTTAAGTGTCATAAGTGTCATAAGTGTCAAAACAAAAGAACCAAGACTGTTAAGTGTCATAAGTGTCATAAGTGTCAAAACAAAAGAACCAAGACTGTTAAGTGTCATAAGTGTCATAAGTGTCAAAACAAAAGAACCAAGACTGTTAAGTGTCATAAGTGTCATAAGTGTCAAAACAAAAGAACCAAGACTGTTAAGTGTCATAAGTGTCATAAGTGTCAAAACAAAAGAACCAAGACTGTTAAGTGTCATAAGTGTCATAAGTGTCAAAACAAAAGAACCAAGACTGTTAAGTGTCATAAGTGTCATAAGTGTCAAAACAAAAGAACCAAGACTGTTAAGTGTCATAAGTGTCATAAGTGTCAAAACAAAAGAACCAAGACTGTTAAGTGTCATAAGTGTCATAAGTGTCAAAACAAAAGAACCAAGACTGTTAAGTGTCATAAGTGTCATAAGTGTCAAAACAAAAGAACCAAGACTGTTAAGTGCAACCCTCAGTGTCGCGCCCGTACCGGACCGGGACCGGCAATGGGATCACAACCCTCGGTGTCGCGCCCGCACCTCGCTCAGCCAGTGAGCGGGAACCGGTCTGTATGTGGGATCTGAACCCTCCGCGGGAGTGCTGCCATGCTCCCAAGTGGCGCACTGTAGCAGTGCGCCACCGGGCCAGCCCAAGACTGAATTTTATTCTAATACTCTTAAGACATAGATATTTTAAATTTCAAATTTATTTTGAGGTTTATTTTGAAAATACACCTTTATTTTCTTTTTTGTTTGAAAATTTATAAAATTGTTAGTACTTAATAGACTATTATAAGCACCATGAGGAATAGGAATTGCAAATTATTCACCTTTTAGTTATCATAAGGTCGTGTAATTCTGGAGCATAGGCACATTCAACTTTAGTAAGTGTATTGCTTTCTTGCCTTAAGCATTTGTTTAAAAATTACATATTAAGACTGTGTGCCAGGAGATGTGTGGGATATACAAGATAACTAACATTTGCCCCTAAGTACCTCTCCTGGTGAGTGTCAGGATGGTTATGAAACTGTGACAGTAGAGCTCAGGTTGCTACACGAAACCTGAGAACAAGAGGTTTGTTCCACCTTCAGTGACTTTGGATGAGTAGGAGTTTGTTAGGGAGTGGAGGCAGTACCCGTGGAAGATGTCGGGAGAATAGCAGGTGTATCCGAGGAGGCCCTGGTATGCAGGGGAGTGGGAAAGGAAGGAAAGGCTTTGGAACAAGGAGATGCTGGGGAACAACTCAGAACTACAGTCTGGCATTCTGTAGTGTGAAAATGCCTTTAATAATGTCAAAATAAAACTTTTGTGTTTCATGCTACTACTGCATTTTATCCTTTCACCTAAACAGAGTTTAGGTTTAGATGTTAGTTGCTTTTGCATTTGTAGTAAAATTAGACACATATATTTATTATCTTTTACAGTGAAGTTTAGCAACTGCAATGGAAAAAGAAAAGTACAGTATGAAAGCAGCGAACCAGCAGATTTCAAGGTGGACGAAGATGGCATGGTGTATGCTGTGAGGAGCTTTCCACTCTCTTCTGAGCATGCTAAGTTCCTGATATATGCCCAAGACAAAGAGACCCAGGAAAAGTGGCAAGTGGCAGTAAAATTGAGCCTCAAGCCAACCTTAACTGAGGACTCAGTGAAGGTATAATGTCAAAATATGGCTTTGGAGCTGATGCTTAAAGATCTGATTTATACAGTTTGAATTAAATATATACTTTGTTTCACACCACATTAATGGATGGCCAATATTTGAATTTTCATGAACTTCAGTCATTTTAATAGATTTGATTTTATTTTTAGTCATGTAAGATATTTTGACTAAATATATTTTAAGGAACCAGAAATTGTATTTAAGAGGTTTGTTTATATTTTTGAGGTTTGTAACTTAAGTTTAATTAGAAGTAGTTGTTTTAAACTTCTTATAAGCTTTACAAGATGTTAAATATAACCACAAAATAAACAATTCTTCACAAGATGTCATCAGTCAAATTTATTTGATGGTAAGTACAGATTTACAGTAGTAACAGAAAGCATTTCTGGCAATGAGTACTGGGTTTTCGTCTTATCCCTTAATAATCAAATTGGGGAGTATGAATTATTTATTCTATGGATATGACTTTTAGGAATGATATACTCCCTCTGGTGGAAGCTGCTATAAGCCCAGATAAAATAAATAAGGTATGTTTCCAACAGAGTACCTTTCAATTCAATTTAACATTTATTGAGTGCTTATTTTGTATCTCAGTATATTAGGAATTTTAAATAATATAAAATAACTTCTTCAGGAAAGTTATAATATTATTTCCTGAATATATTTCTAGTTCTTTGAGTTAATTCAAAACAAATATGAGGGGACATACATATTTTAAAGTCCATGATTTTATGAACTATATTACATTTTATATATTTATTGCACTGTGAAAGATAGGAGGGCACATATTCATTTCTGGTATTTAATTGTAAATGTGATATACACACTTACAATCAAACATGAATGAATAGATCATAGGAAAATATATCATTTTTCTGTTACACCGGTATTGGGGTTTTTGTATGCGAAATTTAATTTGTTAATCTATTAACTGGTAAGGGGAGTCATGCCATTTGGGTAAAATAAAGTGAGAAACTGGCAACTAATGGGGTGAAAAGATGCTTTTGTTGCTGTTGCTTTGCTGTGTTCCAGCAAACTAGCTGGGATATTTGCACTGAAGAAGTAAGGGCTAATGGCTAAATGTCGACAGATATAGGAAGAAACAGAAGAAAATGTTGACATCCAGCAGAGATTAATACCTAATGTGCAAAGTGGGTCATCTACAGCATCCATCATGGCTGACATAGGTTTAGAATAATTACAGCATTAATTCTGTGGGATTTAATAGGGTCATAAATATTTGAGACATTCCTTAGCAATATGTATTAAACTTCTCTTGGAATTCAAATTATATTTTAACACATCAAGATCTAAATTTAATGTACAGTAGCACATTACCTGAACTGTGGTTTAAACTAATGAGAAATATATAAAAGGGTGCTATTAAATTTTGTTCAATTTTAACTACTCTCTGAGATGGTTTATAGAAACTGCAAATAGTTTACACAGCTGAGCCATTATAATAAATTGTTTAGAATTCAATTTTTCAATGAACAGTGTAACCCAAAAACTTTATTGTGTTTTCTGTTATTTTAATAGAACAACAAAAGGGCCTCCAGACTTATTTTTTGTGTGCATAATAAACTGTGATTCCTGCACTTTCAGGTATTCATTAATATTGATGTGCTTCCAGAAAATGTTTTCCCTAGTACTCAAGAATGTCTTGTTGTTTTTTTAATGTGAAGGAATCACAAGAAATTGAAGAAATTGTATTCCCAAGACAATTCACTAAGCACAATGGCTACCTGCAAAGGCAGAAGAGAGACTGGGTTATCCCTCCAATCAATTTGCCAGAAAACTCCAGAGGACCTTTTCCTCAAGAGCTTGTCAGGGTAGGGTGGCACAATTCTAATTGTTTCCAGGGCATGTGGCAAGTGTGTGTTAAAATGTTTTTGTCTATTTATTTATAAAATAGAGTTTATAACTTGCGTATACTAAAAAAATTTTGTTTTGTATAGATGGAATTGCTACAGTGTAGTAGAAATCCTCTTCTCATTTTCCTTTGCTGTCTTTTGGATTATTTATAGATAGAGCTCTCTGTAGGTCCTGGACACTATGGGTGATAATGCTTGTTCAGCTTGCGAATACATCAGCCCTAATGCCAACATGCATTTCCATTCCTACCATACCCACTTTCACAACCCACACACACTTGTTTGCCTGTCTGAAAGCTGGCCTCTCCGTGATGATATTTGCCCTCTACAGATAGCTTTTGGGCCAAAGAAACGTAAAGGACAATCATTGCAAAAATGCCAGCACCAAGGGCATTTGAGAGTTTTTTAAAGAAAGAAAAAAAAAAAGGACCTCCGATACCATTAACAGAATCCCTGGGGTAGTGCAAAACCATAGTCTTTCAAATCTGAAAAGGAAGTTTTTTCACTTACTACAGATGCATTTCATCAGATGCAGAAAAACAGTTACAGATATTTTTGCATGTTTGATAAAATTAGCAACCCATTATTTATTGCAAAAGGATGTAAGACAAAGTTGTCGTGTTCCTATTTATTACAATGTTAATGTTTCTGTGTATGATTGTTTTAGCATTCCAACATTTACTTACTGAATGCTGTGTTTTTTTAATAAAGCACTTATTTGTGTTGTGTATTCTGTCCTAACGCACGTTATAATTCAATTTAACAATGGACATAACCCCTAGATAAAGATGCTTTCTATGAGAAAGAACAGAATTTTGCCTTAATTTGAAGAAAAAACCAAAAACTAGATTCTATTAATGGATTAAATATATTTACCTCATACACAAGGATCTCTTGCTATTATTACCTCCAAACCATTTAGCTTAATCTTCCCTTCCTTTAGCCTGTCCTGCCTCCTGTGACTGCTCATATATTGACTTCATTTTCCTGGAAGTAGTTGAATTTGGAGAAAACAGTGAGCTGTAGTGGGTATAGATGGAATTGCTACAGTGTTGTAGAAAGTGTTTGAGTATAAAAATATATTTTAAAATACTTTCATGTATGCCTTGTTATTAATGAAGAATTTTGGTATTGGGTGCCACCTTAAAGTGATATGGACAGCTTTGGTTGTAATGGACAGTGTTGTTAGTACAGTCCAAGTACAGAAATCCAATGTCCAGGCTCAACCATAATATTAGAGTTTGATGTGAGAATATTTCATGTTATGGTTAGACAATTATTTCTTGTCGTAACTTATGCAAGCAGGTGAGCAACTTTTATTTTAATTAAATTGGACACCTATTACTGTATTAAACAGTCTAACCTAGAAACTCCCAGGATAGAAATTAATTGTTTAAAAACACACTTCTAAATTTTGCCTTTTTGCACTGCTTCTAGTGAATGTTCTTTTAGATGTTAATGTTGCCCCCAGTCTTTCTGATGATAGGTGACATCTTTTTTTTAAGCCTATCACCCAAAAAGCAAAGAGAAGGTACGGGCACTGGGAGAGTTTCAGTGGTTTTCTGGAAAGAGATGGTGGAGGTTGTGACTGAAAAAGGCATGAAGTGTGGAGTGCTCTGTCTCTGATAATAAGCTCATTTTGCCTCTCATTTGATGTAATTGTTTTCTTGATCCTCAGATCAGGTCTGATAGAGATAAAAACCTTTCCCTGCGGTACAGCGTAACTGGTCCAGGAGCTGACCAGCCTCCAACTGGTATCTTCATTATTAATCCAATCTCAGGTCAGCTGTCAGTAACAAAGCCTCTGGATCGCGAGCTGATAGCCCGTTTTCATGTAAGATTCCAACCAGCTAATAATTCTCTGTATTTATACTCTTCAAAATGTGTGCCGAGTTTACCATTGCTGCCTATAACAGTCCAAAAGCCTTGATACTGAGAGTTATAACACCAGAAATGTATTTGTAGTCTTTGGTTTACTTTAATAATTTTCTTGGTTTTATAGAATTGATGAATGCTCTTAGTAAAAAACAGTGTCAAAAAAAATAAAACAAACAAGAAAGTGAAGTTCCCTAAAAATCTCATTGCTTTTTACATGTTAATACTTGCCTTCAGATATGTGGCTAAGAACCTATAAGAACAAATTTATACGAATGGAGTCAAAACTGTTGCATGTAAAATATATAGAGATCACAACCTTGTTAATGGATGCATGTTATTCCAATCAAAGGGAGTTCGCTGTTCCTGTCTCATGTTGAATTGTCTTTCAGATCATTTATCTTTTTCTCTCACTGTCATTAAGAACTTTTGTCTATCAGGAATCTTAATGCTTGGTTTGGCCTATAGTTTCTCCTGCTGTTGCTTGTTTCTAAACATTGTTTATACTTTTTGCCATAGTATAACATAGTATTTGCATTGTAAAATTCATGTTTTTAAATTTTATTATACATCCATCTTTCTAGAGACGTTGATAATGTCCTTCCCTCCTCCAAGATGCTAGTTTCCTCAGTTTTGATCTGTTGTATTTTTTCATTTAAATTTTTAACCTGTGGAATTGTTTTAATAAAAAGAGAAAGGAGAGGTATATGGACCCATTTTGTTTTTTCTTTATGGCTAGCTAGTTGTCCCAACAGAATGTATTGAATTAGTTTCCCACGGATTTATCAACGACACTTAGTCATTAAAACTTTTGTCCCTCATGTGCAAGTGTTTGTTTCTAGACTCTTATTTTGCCCACTAATATACTTGTTAGATTTTTGCACTGGACAAACTTTTAAAATTATTGAAGTTTTTAGACTACAACAGTTTCCCCTAGATCTAAACAGACAAATAAGCATATGATAAATTAAAAATGTTTTAAGCACTATTACTTAATATACCCTCCTCCTAAAGGCCTTGATTGATTTATCAGCTCATTCTTTTAAATTTCTTGAAGAAACAGATTTTTTGTTTTAATACAAAAAATTCTACATGCATGTTTTATATGAATTCATACAATCTGAACTCCTATGGTTGAAACTAAGGAAATAAATATTGTCACGTCAATTTGGGGGTAAATTGTTGCATTCCAAATGCTTGCTGCTTACACATTAAAAAAGTGATACCCATAACAAAATAGAATTAATTATAGGATTGCAAGTATTAAGAATCAGTATTAAGATTCAGTATTTTATGTAATTCAGTTAAGTTTCAGTATTAAGAATCTATTAATGTAATGTAATGAATTAAATAAGTCGAGAGAAAAAGGATTGTCTGTATAAGTGTTGAAAAACTATAATAAAATTTATGTTGTTTCGCATGTTTAGTACCTCAAAATGAAAAGATATGTTGATGCTTCTTTAACTCGATAGAGCATATCCAGCAGAAATCAGCATCCAGCATCAGACTTAACAGGAAAACCATAGATGCATTTCAGTTAAAAAGAAACAATTCAATGGACCACAACATAGTCACTAAAAGAGTGAAATGGATCTCTATGTGCTGGATAAAAAGACTGAAGAATTCTGCTAAAAGTAGCTGAGTGATTATATTTGTTTAAAAAAGAAAATTAGATAAAATTTCTAGAGAATACTTATAAAACTGAGAACTGGAGCTGGGGAGAGGAACATCTTACATACTCGTGTACTTTTGATGTTTATGAGTGATTTTTTCGTAAAAAAAAACTACTGTCAAAATATTCTGTGTACACTTAATTCTTTCTAGGTTCTCTTCTGTTCTCTTGATCTCTGTGACTATTTTATGCTAGTACCACATTCTTAATCACCCTGACTCTATCATATGTGCTGGTTAGCAGAAGAATTTTGGAGCTGGACAGAACTGGCTTTGGATCTGGGTTCTGTTAACAGACAGAACAATGTCACCTGTACAAGTTACCTAGCCTTTCTGAATTACAATATCCTCATTTTCAAATGCTGATAATTTCTGCCTCACTCTATTGTATGTGAATTAAATAAGTTAAAATCCAAAATCCGTTATACTTTGAGCACAATGCCTAGTATGTATAAGTGGTAGCTTTTTCCTACTATGTCTACCCTAATTATATGGAGTTGGGCTAACTTAAATGTTGATGGGAAGAACCACTTTTTTCATCTCTCAGTTCGTTCTTTCTATTTTAGCGGCATTGTGATTGTTAATTTAATATTCTCACAGACATAAATCTGTTAAGTAATTTTGCTTTCTGATGACTTTTGCAGTTGAGGGCACATGCAGTGGATATTAATGGAAACCAAGTGGAGAACCCCATTGACATCGTCATTAATGTTATTGATATGAATGATAACAGACCTGAGTTCTTACACCAGGTTTGGAATGGGACAGTTCCTGAGGGATCAAAGCCTGGTAAGTTTGAAGATAATAATTTGGAAATGATTTGAGGAAATGTAATCAGCATTGTCATATAAACGAGAAAAGGAGAAAACACATGAGCCTTTGAGTATTACTTTCTTTCATTCATGATGCTTTTAGGGAAACAGAAAGGTAACTTAGAGAAAAACTGAATGAAGAAAGAAAACAAAAATATCCCTCTACTGCCCACAATGACTTTTTTCCACCTTTGAAAAAAGTACACACTATAGTGTTTGATTCTGTTCTATAGAATCTATAGGATCCTTTCATTTTGCTATAGTTGGTGCAATTAGGGCAGCTTGTAAATGAACACCAGAAAACTAGAGTCTTTGTGTTCATAAAGCACAGATTTAATCCTATGAGATGTGGCAGCAATGTAAATGCAATTGGGAATCTTCGAAGATACTTGGTATTCCTGGGACCAGGTGGTGAAGTAAACCAAAAGCAGGAAGGGGCTTGGGGACAGATGTGATTGCTGCCTTCCAGCTCTACTGGAGATTTACTTTCAGGGAGGCCCTAATGTACTCTGGAGCCCTCTCTTTTCAACCTGCATAATGAAAAGTGCCCTGGCCTAGAAACAGCACTTTCTGAAAGTCTCTCACCATATAAATAAAGTGGTAATTGACTAAGATTTTAGATTCTTGTACTGAAAACCCCGCTGACTTCCATCACAGTAGCATAGACAGGCCAGAAAGGCCTATTTAGTCTGAAAAACTAGTGGACAAGACAATGAGTTGATATTCAGATGGTAAAAGTAAGTGTTTGGCCAACCTTTCTGAGATGATTTAGTGTTCAGAGAGATTTGATTAGCCGTATTAATTTTATTTGTGTTTTAAAAAGCCTCAGCATTTAAAATCATACCATATAATACCTTTGTCATCTATACCAATTTAGGTACCTCCCTTATGTATAAGCCAATTTATAGATATAGTCAACTGTGCATTAAACCCATACTTTTTCTTGGCCCAAGGGCACTTCTCTGCACCTTCAGAAAGGAGGGGTGGGTTGGTGCAGGAGCTGCAGCGTTGCCAGCCAGGGACACAGGCTTCTCCAGTGTCCCATCACCACCCTGAAGCTTTAGCCCCCAAAGGGTTACTGGCATAACAATAACCACCAAGTGCTTTTCACAGCACAACATCTGAATACAAGTAATCCAACAGCAGAACATTTTGCTTTTTTTTTTCTTCCCCAGGAGGCCTCAGGGAACCTGTCAAATCCTTTCAGTTCCAAACACTGGGAGCAGAGATGGGAAGAAAGAGGAGTTGGAGGCCCTAATGTACTCTGGAGCCCTCTCTTTTCAACCTGCATAATGAAAAGTGCCCTGGCCTAGAAACAGCACTTTCTGAAAGTCTCTCACCATATAAATAAAGTGGTAATTGACTAAGATTTTAGATTCTTGTACTGAAAACCCCGCTGACTTCCATCACAGTAGCATAGACAGGCCAGAAAGGCCTATTTAGTCTGAAAAACTAGTGGACAAGACAATGAGTTGATATTCAGATGGTAAAAGTAAGTGTTTGGCCAGCCTTTCTGAGATGATTTAGTGTTCAGAGAGATTTGATTAGCCGTATTAATTTTATTTGTGTTTTAAAAAGCCTCAGCATTTAAAATCATACCACATAATACCTTTGTCATCTATACCAATTTAGGTAGCTCCCTTATGTATAAGCCAATTTATAGATATAGTCAACTGTGCATTAAACCCATACTTTTTCTTGGTCCAAGGGCACTTCTCTGCACCTTCAGAAAGGAGGGGTGGGGCATGTTTACAATCAACAATGAGACTGGTGATATTATCACAGTGGCAGCTGGACTTGATCGAGAAGTAAGCCAAACAGAGATTGTATTTGAATTTGTTTTTAATCTTACAGGTACATAGTATCACATACACTTTATCTCCAGGTAATAATATATCTACGATATTATTCAAATGCTAATTTTCATTAAGAAATTTTCCATACGATTTTCTACAGAATTTCAAATTGGTTTGATGATGTACGTATACTGAATCAATAATTGCTGGCCTGTGTAATACTGGATGTGATAATTGACTAAGTTAAGCTAGTACTCCCTGGTATCTCACTTTTAAAATTGTTAGCATTTCCTTCATAGTCAAAGGTTTCTATGAGGATTTAAATTAAAAACTATGGCCAAATACTGTGTGCATAAATTTAAGGTAATTTTTTAATGCTTATATTTTTGAGAAGCTACAAATAACATGTATATGATTAGGTTTTCTGTAGCACCTGTAGATAGCCTGATTTTGTACAAAGACAATTATCTTCTTTGTTAGAACTTACCCCTTAACTGTAAGATTAATTTATTTAACAGGTTTGATCACTAGTAACTGCATTAATTCTACTCACAAGCACTTAACATTATAAATGCAGAGAAATACACTTTTGGCATAATATTTTGTTGAAAAGGCATAAAATGTTGAAGGCATTGAATTACTATGTCGTATCACAGTTTGAGAGGGAATGGGCATGTTGATTGATTCTAGGTGGGTTGTCTCACTGTGACAGCAGGGTTGTCACCCTGCTCCTACACAATTCTGCGTTTTGTTTATGAGATCCCCTCTGCCAGGAATGCCTTGCACCTTTTTCTTGACCTTGAACCTTCCAGTTCTTCAGGTTCTGATTCAAGCCCTTTCCTGAAACCTCCAGCCCTGATGAAACTTTTACCTCCTTTCTCTCTTCTGTCCTGACCATTTTCTCACAGATCTCAAGGTCATTATTTGGACCGTCTGTAATCATTGTTAGAGTGAATTATCAAAGTGCCAACTCATAGAGATTCGTGCTTTGTAGATTTCTGGCTGAGCCAGCTTTTACTGTAATGAGACTTCAGATTATGTATGTCAAAAGGAAGCATTATACTTACTAAATATTATTGACAAGGATTGTAGAAGTGGGTTTTTTGACTCTTTATTTGCCATAGTAGCTTTCACTTGAATTGGATCGAAGAAAACATAACTATTGCAATTATCTATATACACAGCATAATGCTAGAAGCACTGTAATAAAGTAATGTGAGCCAATCAAGATTACTTTATTCACAGCTGAGCTGAGATCCTCACTTACAAGTTAGATGTATGCCTACGACAATGTACCTATTACCTTCCAAGTGTCAACAATTCTTTTTCTAGGAATATTTTGCTTAACAGATCGTTGAAATGCATTCAGTTTTTGCAATAGTACTTTGAGTTCAGTGATATCCAGAACATGTATATCTTTTCACCTCTTCCATTATTGTATGAAATACTATACTTGTATGCCGATAAACTCAGTATGAATGCCATATTTTATATGAGAATATGGGCTATTTTTCAATATTCTCTCTTGAGTGCCAGATCATTACCTTCCAAGTGTCAACAATTCTTTTTCTAGGAATATTTTGCTTAACAGATCGTTGAAATTCATTTAGTTTTTGCAATAGTACTTTGAGTTCAGTGATATCCAGAACATGTATATCTTTTCACCTCTTCCATTATTGTATGAAATACTATACTTGTATGTCGATAAACTCAGTATGAATGCCATATTTTATATGAGAATATGGGCTATTTTTCAATATTCTCTCTTGAGTGCCAGATCGTTCGTGCACCAAGTAGATATAGCTCATTTCACAATCCTAGTATTTCTCTTTCATTCACACTGTCATTATGAGATACAGAAATGGGGCTTCATCCTGTTTTCATATAGTAATATTCCTCTCACATTGAGACTGGCTGTTTCATGGAAAGAAAGAAGCATGGAGAATTAAAGTGAGTTTTACTAAAACAGACCAACCGTGTTTTAAAATCAAAGCGAATGTATTTAGTTTAGAGAATGAAAGCCTGAAGAGGCTCTTTAATTGTGGGTAAGTCGGTCTTAAGTGGATGGAGAAGCCATCCATTCACTACCCCTTGATGAAACTAATGCAGAAATGGATTTGAAACTACAGAAGTGTGGGTTAGATACAGTATGAGAAATAGCTTCTTGACAGTGAAATTATTAAACACAACGATGAGTTACTAGGGAAAATTATGGAAAACCTTCCTTTTCAGGAAGTCATTTAACATAGGAAAAAAAATGTATCTACCTCGGATGGTTTATGGTAATTCTGCCTGAGGCCGGGGATAAATTACTTTGACTTTTTCAGGCCTCGCGCAGGCTTGAATGTATTTTATTTCTATTAGAATTCACAGTTTCTTTTCTGTCACAAGTAATTTTAGTCATCGTTCTCCCAGGATATATGACACCTTTAAGTGATTGAACTCCTGATCATTGAAATGCTTACTGAAGTTCAGCTTTTTATTTTTCTTTAATCTACAGGTTTAAAAAATATCAATTCTTCAGTTTCTCTGGAGCTAAAGCTATACCCATCACATTACTCAGTCTTCAGATTTTTATCTTCCTCTGACCTCCCTCTTGTTACATCACTTGGTGGTGGCTATTTCTGGCATTTTCTTCTTTTTTCAAGCCTTCTCTTTTCATATCCATCTCCTGCCCTTTTTGGACAGGACTACCAAAGCCTCACCCCCTGCTTAGCCAGGTTTGAATTCTCACTCTGGCTGTTATGGGCTATTTGACCTTCAGTGTATTAACCTGAAACCTCAGTTCCCACATCTGTAAGTGGAGATAATAATATTACAACCTCATTGCATGGTTGTAAGGGTTATCTAGCATGGTGCATAAAACATTCAGCACAGTGTGCTATAAATACTAGCCATCATTTGCCATTTAAATGGGGCAGCAGCATGTACTGGTTGGATACCATTGCTTTTACTTCTCTTCATGATTTTTCTCATGGCAAAGAAATTCATTATACCTTCTGTTTTCCAAGCCTAATACTCCTTTCATTTGTGCTCTCAACTCCATGTTTTATCCTGAAGGAGTGTTCTGTTTTCTGTTGTGTCGCCAGGCTTCCCTTCTCCGCAGGTCCCTTCATAATCTACAAACACTCAGAGTCTCTTCTGGGGTAAAATAGCTCTCCACACCTGTAGGGGATGCAGTCAGAGCTCTTTAATATAGCATTCCAGACCCTCTGTGACCTGGGCCCCAAAGCCTTCTTCAGCCTAACCCACCAGAATTCTCTGCCTCCCGCTTACGAACACATGATGTTCAGCCATTCATACAACCACATGCAATTCCTTGTACGAGTGTGGGGTTTATATTCTTCTGTTTCCTCTGCCTGCATATTTCTTTCCCATGTACAGAGACTGTTACATAGAAATTGTATCAGCATTCCCACACTCAGCATTCAGTGAGGCAGAAGTTCCTCATCTTCTTACCCTGAACAGGAATGCTGAAGGATGGTCAAGTTGTTAGACTTTTCTCCAGCAGTTCAACCCCAGACTTCTCAACAGGGCAGCCAAGACTCACCACTCAACTCCCGTCCTTCCTTGCTGCCTGGAATACAGCTTCGTGCCTGCTTCCCCTACTCACGATGTGCACATGCTGCACATATATTCTTGGAGGCACGTACATAGTGGAGGGATTGATGGTGCAGACTCTCGACTCAGTGAGACCTGGGCTCAAGTCTGTCTATGGGAGGGTGTCTGTGGCAAGTTTCCTCACGTTCCTAAGTCTGTGTCCTCATCTGTAAAACAAGGATAAAAACTCCACATTCCTTATAGGATTTTTGTGAGGAGTAAATGAGATCATGTACAAATGATTGGCACTGTGTCTGGCACATAGTACTCAACCTCAAGGAAAGTCATTGTATTTTATTATCAAGGCCCTCAGAACGGTGTTGGCATACAGTACGCATGCTGCAAATTTCAGACTTCAGAGTTACAAGATCAGAAGTAATCTCAGTCCTGTTTCACAGATGAGAGATCGGGGACTCAGCAGTGAAGCATTTGAACAGGGTCACAAATCTGTACTTACCACTTCTGGTGACATTACTACTTCACTGTCCATCCCCTAACTCAGTCCATCCAAAAGCAAATCTATCATCTTCTCCCTAAAGATGTCATTTGTAATGAATTTCCTGTTTCATGTGACCACTCTCCCAAGGTCCTGGTCTAATTGACTTTACCAGGCAGTGGTCCATCCACCCCCAGTGTATTTAGTCAGCAAGGTCTTTTCCGTTTACCCCCAAGACACCTCTTGCATTCCTTCCTCCCTCAGGAGTATGAGGACCAGTTGGGACATTTCTTTTAAAGGTTCCTTACATCACTTCTTCCTACCCATACTGCAGTTGCACGGGGTATTTATTCCTGTGATCCATTACTACCTTCTCTATCACCTAATGAATGCGAGGCCATATCTGGTTTTGTTCACTATTTTATCCGAATAAATGCTATATTGCCTGGCATCTAGCAGACATTCTGTGAATGTTTGCTGAATGAATGACGGAATGCTCTCACCTCCTCATTCACTGATACCACTCTCGTTCAGGGTTTCAAAAGTGTGCTACACGTGTATAATGATTTTGACTGGACATACAGAGAAACCTCAAGGGACAGCAAGAGACCACAAGCCTTGTAGATGCTACTGCATCAAGCAGACAATGCCGGAATCCAAGAATTGTGTTGTTTGTTTTTTACAGCTATGTTTATGACAATTAATTCTAGTTTTCTATTTATAGTAACTTTTAAATTAATTTAAACTTTGAAAAAAAGGGAGTCCATATCAAGATAAATAGGAAATGACTCATAGTATAGAAATGCGAGGATATGACAGAACTGGGAAGATTGTACATGAATCACTGCAGTTTGGGAAATAGCTAGTTTATGCTCCCAATATATGTTTTAATAAATTATTGCTACCCATGTAAATAAGAGGATGGGTTTTTTAAACCTAAAATGATTTTTATAAAGTAATGTAAGCCTCTAGTTTTCTTATCTATTCATCCGTCCAACCACAAAGTCAAAAGCATCTATTGTTAGCTTATTCTGTTATTGTGCTATATACCAGTGACACAGACCTGAGCAAAGCAAGGGTCCTGAGGAGAGAGGGGTGTGTGTGTATGTGCATGTCTGTTTGTGCACACACGTGCGTAATGGCAAGATCAGACATACAACTAACAGCCAAAAAACTAGAAACAGTGATAGAAGCATGTCGTGGGGGCAGAGTCCTGAGGACACAAGCAGCTGTGGCTCTAGAAGTTGTCTCTGAGCTTACTTTTAAGATGTATATCTTCCAGGCTTAGAATGAAGGGAAGGATATACTAGGACATGGTTTCTCCGCCATGGCACTGTTTACAAGGTGTGGAGTAATGAATGAGAGGGGACAGCTTTGATAAAATAGGTAAGTCACAGAGATGGAAGGATTTGACAACAAGCAGATGAGTTGAGATTTAATCCCATATAGAACTGGAAGTGAGGGAAAGTTTTTAAGCAGAATCCCCTTGATCAGATGAGGGACTATGAGGGTGGGAAGTCAAATTCTTATGGAATCTAAATGTCAGTCACTCAGAACCATATGCCCAATGACTAAATTAGGCAGGAAGCTCTAAATAGTTCAGTTGTCTAAAACCGGTTGTCATGTCTTCCGTACAAATGTATGAGTGTTTTACCAATCAGGCATTTGAAAATGGAGATTATGTTATTTACCAAGTGGGTATTTTTTCTTTATTTAAAGAGGCTTTGTATTTTAGAAATAACAGTGTTCTTTTATAACTTAAAGGTTTCAAAACTAGCTTGAAGCAATAGGAAATTTCAAGTGTTAGCTACCAATCCCAGTATTTCAGCTCCATGGATAATCGTATATATTATACCTATATAATTTTAAAGATTTTTTTTAGAATAGATTTTAGGAAAGAAATGTATCTCCATATAACATCTATGTGGGGTTTGTTTTTATCTTAAAAAGATAAACTTCAGTTTTTTTTTTTCTTTTTATGAGAATGTTCATCTGTTTCTCCAAATAGCTGCTAACAAGTATTTCAGCTCCATGGATAATCGTATATATTATACCTATATAATTTTAAAGATTTTTTTTTAGAATAGATTTTAGGAAAGAAATGTATCTCCATATAACATCTATGTGGGGTTTTTTTTTATCTTAAAAAGATAAACTTCAGTTTTTTTTTCTTTTTATGAGAATGTTCATCTGTTTCTCCAAATAGCTGCTAACAAAAATTGCATTTCAAAAGTCAAAACAAATATATATTTTCATGGTTTTCAGATGGGAGGTTGAACTGAATGCCCTGGAAAATGCTCTCACTACCATGAGAGAATAACCTGACGTGACACTCTTGATTAGGAAGGGAAACCACTGAGAAATATTGTATCCTACTTAAACATTTTAGTGAGGTGTTATGGGTTAAGAAAAATTAAAATGGCTGAACCAGCACTAGTTTTATTTTTTTTTATTCAAAAAAGTGTGCTATTTTCTCTTTTCAGAAGACAAGAAATAACTAAAATAAATAACTGCTAGAGATTGACATTCGGGTGAACAAAGACTTAAAATCTAATGTTTGAGGTTTGGCTTTCCCTCCTACTCTTTTCCTCTTTTCTTTTCTTTGCCCCTCCCTGTAACGACTAAAAAGCTACAATTTGTGTCTGTTCTATCCAAGCTCCAGAAATCCTCTTAAGAATGGCCATTCATACTGTTAGCTATATTTAGATGCAGGGAAACCGCACTTTGCACTGACAGTTTACTTTTGTATGAAGAAGTGAGTTTTGTTGTTCAAAATGTTTTCACATTTATGAAAATTATCTATTTTTTTTATATGTGCCAATTTCCACAGAGATTCAAATGATTTTTAGATAATGTTTTTGGCTGGATGCTCCTAATATAAAACTTAGACAGCTAGTGCTACAGTCTTACCAGACAATCTCATGATTTTATCTGAGACACATTACAGCTTAATTTGGCTCCCTTTTAAAACAATCTGAAATTTGAAAGTAGTGGAGGGCTAACTGGTTAGTTCAGTTGGTAGAACATGCTGTTGATAACATCAATGTCAAGGGTTCAGATCCCTGCACCAGCCAGCCGCAAAAAAGAAAAAGAAAAAAGAAAGCACATGCCTTTCTAATAATAATTATCTACTTATAAATGTATCCATGTATCCATATTGATAACCATTATAGGTCTGTCCTCAAAACAGTGGACACAATGAGTGTTATGCCCAAATACCAATCCGTTCAGTATGCAGTTATTAAATACCTACTGTGTTCCAGGACTAAGGATATAAGCATAAACCGTTTAATTAGGTTTTGACATTGTTTAGGAATATATCTCTTCTGTATAGTTTCAAATAGCATGTACTAATGGAAATTAGGGAAAAGTATTATATCGACCCTGTTATAATAGAAAGTCTATATAAAATGAAAGCATGTATACTTTGTAAATTATGCTTTCTTCTCTCTGCCTGAGATTCTTCATGTCTTTAGCATTCTAAACTAGGCAGAAATTAACATACGAGAAAGTAAATACAAATCAAATGACTTGAATGCTTGATCACAATCTTGTGGAGTGAAGAAAGGGAGAGGTTGAAACCAGATGGAGGTTTTGCTTAGCTGTGAATTTCACACATCTGCAATGCATGCCATTTTGTGTGCAGAGGTGAATATACACAGTTAAATCTCCCTAGACAAGGACCAGACCTGTGCTTTGTAAGTTAAAGTAAACTCCACTTGGGAGATTTCAAGTAATGTTAATCAGAATGAATGATGCGTGCTCTCCAGGTGTAATAAAGAGCCTTTTACAGAACAACTGTTATGTCTTCTTGAGGAATTAGTTTCATTTAAGTTGTTATCTTAATGTCTTTGTAGAAAGTGCAACAGTATACGTTAATAATTCAGGCTACAGACATGGAAGGCAATCCCACATACGGCCTTTCCAACACAGCTACGGCCGTCATCACAGTGACAGATGTCAATGACAATCCTCCAGAGTTTACTGCCATGACAGTAAGTACAGCATGTCACTCATAGAGCTTTAGGTCTGTGGTCCATTACTGAGAAGTTTTATCATGAATAATAAATGTGTTAAGTAGAGGTAGAACTTGCTTAACCTAAGAGTAGAATGTAACTGAATCAGATGTTTCTGTCATCAGGGCTTTAAATAAAGCATCCAAGTAATTTGTTTCCTCGTAGTTTCCAAGTCCACTGTTAAAGTTGTTAAAATATGCTGCCTGGAAAAAATGCCCTAAAAAGACCTTGTGCTTTTATAACAGAATACTTGTAAATATCTTCAGGTGCATGAACTACATGACTGATTTATGCTACTTCTTCAGCATGTAATTATCTGTATCTCAAGTAAAATTATTTCCTGCAAACAAGTCCTCTCCGACCACCCCACATTAATCACCCAGATACTCACAAATGGATGCTCATTTTAATATTAATAAAACTGTAACGTAATTTGGGGGAAAATGGGCTAGTGAAAAATGTTATATAGTATTTTTAAAATCAGACATAAATGCTGTGATTACCTGCATTACTGATCTCCTCATTTAGTGTAGATAATAAAGATTTAATGGGGCAGTAAAGTTAGGATGGTGTGGTCATCAGGACGATTTGTCCTTCAGTCCACTTCGCTCCTCTGACTGAGGTTTGTCTTTCTTGTAGTTCTATGGCGAAGTCCCCGAAAACAGGGTAGATGTCATAGTAGCTAATCTAACTGTGACTGACAAGGATCAGCCCCACACACCAGCCTGGAATGCAGTGTACAGAATCAGTGGTGGAGACCCTACAGGACGGTTTGCCATTCAAACTGACCCAAACAGCAATGACGGGCTGGTCACCGTGGTAAAAGTAAGTGTTCCTCAGACCATTGATGTCTCTGATGGCTACCCAGCAATGACCAATATATGTACCACCCCCCTCCCATTATTTGGCTGTTGAATCTTAGGACTTTTTTCTTTCAAACATCTCTAAATCTGGAATGCATATATATTTGGGGTGTAATGTGTTACTGTGTAATTTATGTTGAGGCTGAGGCCAATAAAGATACTCTCACATTATTACTGGAATATGATCGTTTTTAAATTTGTTAGGACATTTTTACCAATCTGAAGACAGGACTGACCTCAACAATGTTAATTGTGGATGTATTTGACATATTAGTGATATGTCACATTCTGAAGCCAATTGATAGCTATCAAGAATGATCTATCACATGTACTGTCCTCATGTCTACAGTTATTAGAGTATTGACAGGGAGTGAATGGGCCAGAAAATATCATAGAAGTAAAGTGGACTGAGTAGGCAAGAAGAGGCCCTACATGTTTAAAAGGTTTTGCATTTATGTTGCTGTTTTTAAATGCACTTTCCAAGACTTTAGTAAGTTGATTCTTCTGACCTTTACTTGTCAGAAAAGAATCAAAACAATTGAGTGCTGGAAGCTAGGGGGACGTTCTTCAAGTATAATAAATGTGTAGCTGTAATGGAAAAGTTCTTTAAAGGGAATGTGCCTTCCTTTTAACAACCCAGTGAAGAGATTTACTTCTTTGCCTCCCACCAAACCCTCTTGATTTGTAAGTGGATACAAATGTTGGCCTTACATAGAAAACTGTCAATAATGATGTATGTGCTGCTGTCCCTGCTGTGCCCTTGACACTGTGTGACCATCACCAGTTATTTAACCTCTGTAAACCTCAGGTTCCTCATGCAGAAGGTGGGACCAATAACCTCTCAAAGCCATAGCATTGTCATGAGGGATAAATGAGCTTTCTACACATAAGAGACTTAGAGCTGTGCATATACCACTTAGCATAAATAAGTGCTATGTCAGAGATATTGCATGTGGCTAATGAAATCACTGAAAATAATATAATCTTACTTTCTGGCTTTTTTCCTGTCTTGTTTAAAATTCCTGAGAAAGACAAGTTGAATTGGGGATTTGAGAGCAGGAGAAAAAATCTATGTGTGTGAAGATTTGAGGAGGGGGTCTAGGCTAAGAAACCAGTGCAGTTTGTGCTGATAGTTTCCTTCTGAGCTTCAGCTCTTAATCAGTGATGGCATGAGAGTTCTTGATGCCTGCTTTTGTCCATTTGTTATAGCACAGTAATGTTTATTTGCACCTCCACCAGAAGGTGATGAAGGGAACTTAAGAGTGAACGTTCAGTCTGGTCACTTGACTCCTGTAATATTCTAGTGACAGCAGCATTCAGTGAACCATTGGAAGTTAATATTTACTTAAAGGGTTATTGTGCACTGCATTTATCTAGAGTATTATTCTTAGATTTGGGACTTCTACAGACCAGTAAAATGCCCAAAATTATTTTGGAAGACAGCCAGAGTTTTAGTTTGCTAAGAAAAAGGGGAAAAAAAAATAAAAACCTTCCACCTTAAAACACTATTATTTTAAAAAGGTGTATGTGTGTACATATTATACTTTAGAATGTGTACTTCAAATTATGAAAGATACTTTTAAATCGAATAAGTTTATTTTTATGAAAAAATCCCATTTTCTGGTTTTTGGTTTTGTTTTCTTCAATTCATCACAGACTGGTAAAAACTTTCCCATATGAGGAGACATCTTTATACCAATGTTTGGGAATACAGATCTAGACCATCCGGCTCTCAGTTGACCTAACATCATTTAGTATTTTTAGTCAACAATGCTGGTTTTAATAATAACCAGGTTTTTAGATGTACCTAAGTAAATTTATACAATAGTCATGTGCATTATTTTGTGAACATAAATCTTTGAAATACCCAAGATTTAAAAATAGGTCTAATTAGGATAAATATTTCGATCATTAACCATGTTAATGCATGTTTTCCAGAAATTTGAGAAGAACATTATGGTGTACTGAGTGAAAAAAATAATGTTTTGGAAATTGAGTTGATAAAAGAATAAACTGCAGAATGTAAATTCTTCTTTCCTGCTAAAATATGATTTTTTCTTTCCCCCAGCCAATCGACTTTGAAACAAATAGGATGTTTGTCCTTACTGTCGCTGCAGAAAATCAAGTGCCATTAGCCAAGGGAATTCAGCACCCACCTCAGTCAACTGCAACTGTGTCTGTTACAGTTATAGATGTGAATGAAAGCCCTTATTTTACCATGAATCCCAAGTTCATTCGCCAAGAAGAAGGCCTCCATGCTGGTACCATGTTGACAACATTCATTGCTCAGGACCCAGATCGATATATGCAGCAAAACATTAGGTATGAAATGCAATTTACAGTGTTTTTATAATTTACATTATGTTCTATGCTGTGAATAAAATTTATCTAATTTACCATTTGAGTAAGAAATTTTCATTGGAACCAAAACTACTTATTAGCTGATGATTTTAAATTCTTTGATCAATTTTCCTCTGAGTAAATCACTGACTATTAAAGAGAAAGTTTAAGAACTTTCTCTTTAGCCTGTGCCTTTATACCAAACATCACAAAAGATGGTTCTATAGTGAGTAAATATGGAACTTTCAGAAGCTTTTAGAATTTGTCTCTCCTTCATACATCACAAAGAAAAGAAAACTCATGCCAAAACCAAGATCTAAGAACTAATTATTTTCATCCCTTACCTGTATAGTAATTATTGCATTTATAATACGTATCAGTAAAGATTTCTAGCCTCAGCAAAATCTAATTTATCCTTCCCAATGAGGGAGTAGATGGCTGGCAGAGCACACCTCACACGACTATTCTCTGCAGCTGGTGATGATAATTTTTCAAATTAGTTCATATTTTATTTAACTTCTTTCAGAATTGCTCCTAACAGATAACTGCATATATTCTCAATTTCTCTAGGCATTGAAATCAAGATAAACAGCCAATTAATAAGTGCATTGAAATCCTACAAATTTTGCGTCTCAAAACACAGCATATGTTTTCCAATCTATGTATTGGTTAGCTAAGCTTGAAAAGTTCACTATTATCCCGAATAAAAAAGGAATTTGAGCTGACAGATCTTCTGATACAGACTCAAGACTGTGGGGATTTCTTTGAAAGGGCGTATATCTGAGTCTTGGCCCCGTGTGTGAGATTCTAGTAGGAATGGGATTATGGGGATCTTGCCAGTGTAACTTCATCTTCGCCATGATTAGATGGTAAAACGTTTTAGGAGTGTTCTGTGATATAAAAGTTAACTTCTATTGTGATTTCTCTTACGTCCTTTACATTAGTGCTACTGTTTATTTGGAAGGTATATTTAACCTATGTCATCTGCACCATTGTTATCTGTTGAAGTACACAAGAGCCTAAAATGAGATCTTTCCAGCCAGCCTTATCCCACAGTAGGAAGGCTGTGGTCCTAGTCTTGTCCTTTAGACCCCTATAGAATGTTTTCAGCATGCCTGACCAAGCATAGCCTTCATGTGTCACCCCGTATACTGCCACAAAAATACTTTCCTGTGTTAAAGCTGTATTTCTGACCATGAACTACAAAAATGCAAGTTAGTGAGTCGTTTGCATTTGGAATTAGACATGTAAAATATGCCTTATTTTCTGAGTTTATATCAAAAAATTAAACTTACTGCACTTTCATTTTGTAGATACACAAAATTATCAGATCCTGCCAATTGGCTAAAAATAGATCCTGTGAACGGGCAAATAATGACAATTGCTGTTTTGGACCGAGAATCGCCAAACGTGAAAAACAATATATATAATGCTACTTTCCTCGCTTCTGACAATGGTACGTAATTAAATATATGCACTGCATTATCTTGTATATGGGTGAAAGATAATAGAGCCTTATCATACGTGTGGTGGAATTGAGGTTTTCTACAAAACTTGGTTGTCTAGAAAACTGACCTTTATTACTCTCAGGCCCCAACTTTTATTTTCCATTTCCAGCAGGCTTTTTATAACATACTTTCCTGTGCTTTGCAAGGAGTGTTCTTATGTCCACATACCTTCCACAGTAGCCTGCATTGTAATTACAAACTCCGTTGTTTTCCTACCCTGCTCTGCCCTGCCCCTCACTGATGCTACATGGCTGCAAGACGAGTCTAATCCTCAGTGACCACAGACTCTGTGTTTTTGAGTTTTTTAGTATTTTTTTGTATATTGTCTTTGTATATATCTTCTAATCAGTCTATCTGATCATCAGCATGTGTGTCTCTTCCTGTTTGTAATTCTCTGCCTCATTCTGCTATAGGCCAGGAAACTCTTAATTTTGTGCATAAATTGAAGATAAGTGAGTACATGGGCTTTAGGATGTTGCTTTTGGAACAACACTTTAGTGCCTTTTTTTTTTCTTTTTAATTCTTTCTGAGTCTCTACTGGATCTAACTGATTGAGATTAATAGATAAGCACTTTTATTTATATTTTGGGGGGATGTAAGGTAAAAGGGACTCATGTAAACCTGGTAAAGGGCTTACTTTGCTTTGCTGTTCTCAGTACAATGTGTGATTAAGAGTGGAGACTCTGGAGTTCTTCCTGACCCCTGGGTCCAGAGTCCAGCTCTCTAGCACTTTCTAACAGTGGGATTGATGATGACGTGTTAAATATGTTTCCTTTTTCTTGTTAAATAGAGATAATGATATCAGTACCTAAGTCATAGTGTTTTGAGGAATATAAAATGGCTTCCACATATAAAGCATTTAAAACGGTTCCTGGCACAAACTAACCACTGAAATATTTATATTATGTGTTAATGTGTTTGAAAACTGAATCACAACCACATTTTACAATATTTTTAGTGTTAGGCTATGAATGTTAGCATTTAATAAAAACAGCAGGCTTCAGTTGGTGGTCAAGATGTTCATTTTGTGAAACGTTGCCTATCAAAACTTTCGATAAGAACAGTTTCAGTGAACCTTTTCAAATCCTGTATGATAACATTCAATGAGATTACTATCGGTAGTAAATCTACGTGGTGATGGGGCCAAAGCAATATTTCTTATCCTTTCTAATATGGGACCTACTGTTCAAATGTTTAGATTCGGAATTTGGTAGGACTAGCCTCTGCCATTACACAGTCGTGTCTGTTTTATGCTTTTTTACCGTCTGTAAGCAGCAGCTTTCCCCTACAATGGAACTTACAGTAATATATCTTGACCCATTATGTTGAGACTTAAAGAGTCATAAAATTATATGTATGTATGTTGGTTTTGAGTTACAACCAGATTTTTCATTCACCAAGATGGACTGTTTTCTAATTGAAAGGGTGTACACTATGAGGGAGGAACGAGCTGTTAAATCCGTGATGCGTTGCAAATGCACTTGACTTTAAATCACCAGGTTGGAAGTGGAACCCTAATTCTGTCCCTTAATGATCACACAAGCTCTCATACTCTGTCTTACTTTCGTTCCAGATAAATTATTATGCTGCTTGTCTGTTCTATAAAGTTGTTATAAAGAGTCAGGTAGTATGAAGGTACTTCAGAAAGTTCCTGGAAAACTAGAATTAAAAGATAATAAATACACATCTTTCCATGAACTCTTTGAAGTGCCCTCATATTAAATGTGATAGTAAATGTGAAATTCCTCAAACTATTCAGCATTACAGCAGTTGTGGTGGTATTAGAATATTGTAACAAACACCCCGCCCTCTGCTGTAACCCTCTCTGCTCTCAGAACCATCATATTCCTCATAGAAGCTGGTGGAGATTTCTCCTGATTCCCTCCTCAGGAGTGTGTGTGTGCGCGCGTGTGTGTGTGTGCGTGTGTGTCCTTTCTAGTTGTGTGATCTTGGGCAGGTCACTTAAATCTTTGGGCTTCAGTATGCAGCATTATTTATTATATATGTATAATAAATTATATATATATTTATATATTTATACATATATAATTTATTATACATATGTACAAATACTTATAACATAGCAGAGGCCAAATCGCCAGACTCAATTATCAGATGAGGTGGTAGAGACATCACTTTCTAGTAGAATGAGAATGGGTTTGGGGTCAGGCAGAGCCATCTGTAGTTACAACTCCACTACTTATAAGAGTGTGTGGCCATGAGCAGTTCATGGAGGCTTAGGTTCCTCATCTGTTTAAGCCCACTTCATAGAATTAGAATGTAATACACATAGAGCATCCTAATACATTCTCAAGCAGGAAGGTGGTTGATCAATAAATATCACTTCTCTTCATGGTGGTCCTTCCCAAGATGAAGTCTATGGTTCTGTATTACTTGCCTGTAGGCTGTTTCAACAGACTGTAGCTGTGTTTGAACTTTAAACGCATTCCTACATTCTTTCACACACATCTTGGTTCTCCATCAAAAGAATAGGGTCCACGAGATTGTGAGCCCTGTATTTGGCATCTCAGACATTCCCTACAGTGCCTGGAGGAGCAGTGGACAGTGAGGCAGGGTAGGCATTGGACCTCACCGCAGGGGCATGACATGCGTCATCAGCATGCTCACCTCTGTAGCTCAGGGTCATCCTAGGAGGGCAGCAAGAAGTGGCCTTGTTCGGAAAACAGTCTGCCCAGATGCTGTGGCAACTAGATTTTTTCCAAGGTTACACAGTGGTAAGGGCAAGAAGGCTATTTTTTATATATTATTAATTAATAAGTCTATTAATTATATACTGTTTCATCACAATTGGCTTATTAGAGAGAATTGTTGAGACTGGTTTGTGATTTCTCTTCCTTCTAAGGAATTCCTCCTATGAGTGGGACGGGAACGCTGCAGATCTATTTACTTGATATTAATGACAATGCCCCTCAAGTGTTACCTCAAGAGGCAGAGATTTGTGAAACGCCAGACCCCAATTCAATTAATATCACAGCACTTGATTATGACATTGATCCAAATGCTGGACCATTTGCTTTTGATCTTCCTTTATCTCCAGTGACTATTAAGAGAAATTGGACCATCACTCGGCTTAATGGTAAGAACAGGTTAATTATTTGCATATGTGCACAGTTGAAAGTTTTCGAATCCTAGTATGAAAAGTTAATTTTTATGTGCTTCATAATCTTCTCATTAAACATATTTAAAAGCTACTTAAAGTTTTAATAAGATATTAAAAGTCCTTAAAGCCAAAAAAATCCTCAACACGCAGCATAGTTGTAATCCACTTTATGTGTACTAGTAGGTAGTAAATACATTCTGGAAAACGCTGTGTGTTTTTTATCATGTCAGGTATTAACTATCAAACTGGGTTTTTCTTCTATTATATAGGTGATTTTGCTCAGCTTAATTTAAAGATAAAATTTCTTGAAGCTGGTATCTATGAAGTTCCCATCATAATCACAGATTCGGGTAATCCTCCCAAATCAAATATTTCCATCCTGCGCGTGAAGGTTTGCCAGTGTGACTCCAACGGGGACTGCACGGATGTGGACAGGATCGTGGGTGCAGGACTTGGCACTGGTGCCATCATTGCCATTCTGCTCTGCATCATCATCCTGCTCAGTGAGTTCTTTATATTTTTCTCTTAGATTTAAATTTCTTTTGCTTCTAGGATGTTCAGCAAAGTAACTTGTGGCTGCTGCCTTGCAAGGTAACCTAACAATTCTCTTTGACCTCTGAGCATGTTCTTGCCAATCCTGTATGGGACAGCCAAGTGCACTGTAGAAGGGAAAGCCCCCTGAGCATTGTTTCAAGCACATGCATGTTTGCAACGAGCCTCCCAGCAGGCCTCCTCTCGACCCTCTTACCGTCTTCGGATGCGGATCGCTTGGGGAGCTGTAGCAAACGCTTCCCGTCAGAAAATGTTAAACAGTCCTAAGTTTGAGCACTTATGATTTGAGTATGAATTTATCGCACGTATTTGATGATTTAGGAAAATAAGTATATTGCTTTCCTTCACTTTCCTCCCTGTAAAGCACAATCAGCAAGCTGCTCCAGTCATGCAAGAATCAAGGTATTTGTTTCTGAAGGGCTACGTAAAATAGTGACCGATTGTACTTCACACACAGTACATTTGATAATAGAAATGATTACACAGATCAATAAATTGTCTGTCTTTAGAGTAAGTGTAGATTAAGGAATCACTCCTTTTTAAGATACTTTGAAATCTTTGGTTCAGTGGATGCAAGAAATTAGCCACTGGAAAGTGCTTTAGGAACCACTTCTAAGCATACAGGTTCAAAGAATAAATTGCCTGCGCCCTGTGTTTTATTGTGGAATAGCAGCAGGACTCAGTTTATTGTGCGAGTATGCTATGCACCAATCACTTTCTTGAAAATGTTGGCTATGTCTTTTATGTTTTCTCCATTTACAAGTGTTCTGGTAATTTAGAATTCTGTCCCTTTATTCTTAGCAATTACTGTAGAAGCCTGAACATTTTTTACTTCCTGTGTGGAAACTACTTTGGCTATAATTTGAAACCTGCATGCTATACTAATAATCCACTTGCTAGATTTAGCCCCGTAACAATGGCAAATGAGCTCATGTATCTGGCTTTAAAAGGAGGATATTTACTTTTATGGCCAATAATAAAAATGTGCTCAAATAGGACTCATTAAATCTTTTGCTTCAGGATGCAAACTGATACCCCAGATTTTAGACAGAATTTTTTTCCTAGATGTGCACTTAGGGATATGTTTTACTTTCAACTGAAATGTGGCATATATGCCAACCTTATTGAGAAAGACTTAGGTATGATGGATTATGGCAGGAAGAAGTGACTATGGCATTCTGAAGGAAAATGAATTGGTGCTGATTTTAACATCAACTCTCTGGAAAATTTATGGTTCTAGACCTGGAACAAAAATGCAAAGCACAGAAACCTAATGTTATTTCAGTGAACTAATCCCCTGTCCGTCTTAGCTGAAACATGTGGTTAGATACAAAAGGAATTGAGAATAGTGCAATAGAAAAACACCAGCCTTTGGGAGTAAAAAAAAAAAACAACTCAAGATCCTATTCCTGATCGTTTTCCAATTCACTACCCAAGTCAGCTAGGTAAGCAGTTGTCCCCCTGGAGAAATGCCATTTTTTTGTGAATTTGGGAGTATAATGATGACTGGCCAACCTGAATACAACAGCAAGTAACAGTTTAAATTCTTGCTGTTTTGGGTCTTTAGAGTTTATGAAGCATCTTATTAAGGACATCTGTCCTCTAGCAAGCCAAAGTGAAGAGAGAAAAGTTATTTTTCCCTATGTGTAGATGATAAATCTGAGGACAGATGTTCACCCAGTGAGTTTGCAGGGCACCATGGACTGGAACCTAGTGCATCCTAATACATTCTTTCCACTCTAAACCCAGTGCTCGGGCCTGTTTTGTCTTGTCTCTCTTAATGTGAGGCCAGAAATGGATAATAGATTGAAAGATGCATCAGAAGCCTTTCACCCATACAAGTATAAATTGTTAGTGTTAAGTAGTATGGTCAGGCTTTAAAAATGACGCTATTATGTATTCTTGCTATTTTTCTACCTAGTCCTTGTGCTGATGTTTGTGGTGTGGATGAAACGTCGGGATAAAGAACGCCAGGCCAAGCAACTTCTAATTGATCCAGAAGATGATGTAAGAGATAATATCTTAAAGTATGATGAAGAAGGTGGAGGAGAAGAAGACCAGGTGAGCGATACTTCAAATCTTTTAAGAGGAAATTTTCTGATCTTATAAATTAAATGATGGGAAAAGTGTTAATACATGCAGTTAAAAAAAATGGTATATGAGGTTTCCTCTCTGTTACCATGTTATCAGTCACTTGGTGAATTCTTTCCTATGTGTGCTGCTCATTTCTTGAATTTTTTTCAAAGTTCCAAACATGATTGTATATCTTTTGTAAGAAAATTATTAACATTATTTCAAGGAGCCTAGAATTTAAACCCAATTCCAGTTATATTTGTACTAATAAAAATATTACAGTTTTTCTTGGTTGGATATCCAGAATCTTACTAAAAGTAGGTTAGACGTTGAGATGGAGATATTTGTATGTATGCTAGAAAAAGCACTGAGATTATTCATTCTACAGACATTTACCAAACAAATTCGATATTCCAAGCACTGTTTTAATCCCTGACAATACACAGGTGGGCAAAATTAACAAATATCTCCTCTCAAGAGTCTGACATTCTTGAGAAATATTTGAAGTTAGAGACAACATCTAGCTCATAATTTCTGTCATGGTGGCTGGCTCATCGTGGTTTTTCAGGATATGCTGAAATTCCCTTCTGGCTATTAACTAATGTGAACTTCTGTGTTACCATGTACATAGGGAACTGCATACTTGTTCCAAGGATAAGAATGACCAATAGATGGAAAACAAAGACATTTATCTGCTTGGAAGCAACATTTCAGATATAATGCTAGCTAACATTTGTAAGGTCTGTACTACATGCCAGGCACTCCGTGAAGTACTTTAAATGTTACTATCTCTTAAATCTTCGAAACCTGTGATAATAGTGCTGTGAATATCTCTGCTTTTGTGATAGAAAATCACACCTAAGGTTGGTTGGATTCTACAAAGTCATACACCTAGGAAGTAATAGATGTGGGATTTGAATCCAAGTCTGTCTGATATCACAGCCTGAGCTAATCGATATAGTTCCTCTTGAAATTATCTTGAAGATATCAATGTAATCCACAAGAATGTGCTGTGACAGGTATTTCTTAGATACATTGGATAGTTATGGCATTTGTACTTACTAATACAAAAGTCAAGGATAGTAGTCTGAAAAAGAACCCAGAATTTTTTAGTCTTGCATCATTATCAGTAAATTAAATGTACTTTGTCATAAGTATATATGTAACTTTGTCTTATGTATTAGTGACAGGATTGTTAACTTGAATAAAAGCAAAACTTTACAAGCATATTTTTATCCCTTCCTCACTCCTTTGGGGATGATATATTACTTTGTTTTACAAAAAAGCACATTCACATTCATTATTATTTAATCTTTTTGGCAGCCTGGCTCATAGTGTTTTAGAGTTTAGAGTTTTCCATTTTACTTTTGCAGAAAGTTGTGTGATTTGCTCTAAGAGTTTGTAACTGGCAGAACCAGCACTCAGGGCTGCATCTTCTGATTCTAGATTCTGTGCATGGTTTATAATACCTCAACTCTCCCATTTAGAAGAGATGCATATTTAAAATATGTTGAAAACTTGGCTCAAGTATGTAAAGCTGTTTGAATACTGACTAATTAAAGTAGCTCTATAAATATACCTTAGGGTTTCTTGCTTATAAGTGTCTTTGAATATTAAAATTCATGTTTGGCTTAATCCTTAATTAATCTATCTTTTCACTTTCCTAGACTATGTTTTAATATCAACAAATGTATATTGACCACATTCTCTCATAAATCTTTTACTTCCATGTTTTATTTTTTACATCATTGTACATAATTTTCAAGGCATAAACTTGAAGCTTTAGTAAAAATAGTAGTAACTGGAAGACCACCAGTAATAACTGAATGCTGCACAAAATTAGAGGTCCAGAGGTTGTTACCTAGTCCCCAAAAGGTCCATTTGCTCGTCACTCAGTAGCCAATAATTGAGAGACAAGTGTTGGTGTAAAGAAAGGTAGCCTTTAATCAGGAAGCTGGTGGCCTGGGGAAATGGTGGACTTACATCTCAAAGACCGTCTCCACCTCTCCCAGGTTTGCCAAAGGGTTTTGTAAGGGTCTGTGGTGAAAAGCTGATTCATGGTGACCAAACAGGGACGTGCAGACATGCTTGAATGTTTCAGATAATTGTCACGGAACTCCCCAGGGGGGAGCTGACCAGCATCATTCTCCATGAGTTCAGTTCCTGTACTTCTCAAATAAGATCAGGTTAGTAAGCTAATAAAGACTGGCCATCTGGATTAATAATTTTCCCTCTAATTATTAGTATACAATGTGAGAGCAAGAGTCATTGTGTTCTGGCAATTAGCTGCAGGCTATGTGGTTTGGGTTACAGGAGAGAACAAGTTTTTAAAGTCAAAGTCTTAACAAAATGGAGTCACTTCTCTTCAGGCTGTTACAGAGGCAAGAACCGAGCTAGGTCTCAGCATCTTAGGTACTGGGCTGGGATACGTGATGGCACCTGATGTGGGTCTTCTGCCCTCCTCCCCACCAATCCCTACAAGAAATTGTTTAATACGGTTTTATTGTTACAGTATTTTACAAAACACTTAACTTCATTTATTGACTTTATCCACTTAGATTGATGCTTGAGAGATCATGTGATAAAACTTACCTATTGCAAGATTTAGTAAAATGATCATCATAAATCTTCAACTCCTTCTTTTCCTGACCTCTGAAGTGTGTTCTTGTTTTTTGTTTTTGATTTTTGTTGTTGTTATTTTCTTTTTGCCCCCAGCTAAACTCTTGCAGAATGTGTTGCTTCCAGCCTACTTCTAAGGATTTTTCTGGAACTTTCTCCATGTTGTACCCTGTGACTAACTTTTTTATTTGGTACTTGTCTTTCTATGATGTCTTTTTGTAGCTTCCTGGTTCTTTGATGGCGTTTAGCCTAGATCAAGAGCTTCATCCTTCTCTGATCCTTTGTGCAGTCCTTATTATAGACAGTTGTGACAAAAATTACATAATTTTTAATGCATCTAGTTATTAACTTATAACAGAATGAAATCTGTGGTGTAGGAATGCTACACCACAGATTCCATCTCCTCTATCTTACAAAGCAGTTCATGAAATCCATTTACTTATCTTTATGTCCAAGGATACTACCTTCAGATCAGTATCATCTCTACCCTGCAACAGTTTCCTAATGGGCATCTTGTCTCTGGTTTAACACCCCCACTCACTCTTTGGAATTTATCAAATACAAATTTCTTTCTTAGCATGACAGCTCTTTGGCCCTGCAACCAACCTTTGGTGTACCCCTCACGTATCAAATAAAGGCCCATGGGAAAGAATTGGTGATGGGGGACTCCCTCAGGATGTTAATTTATCTAGCCTGTGCATTTATCATGACTAAAGTTTCCTCCACAGTTTGGGTGCTTTGTCCTTATGCCTTTTAATGGATGATTTCTTTCTTCTTCCTCTCCTCCTCTGGGAATAAAAACAGTTTTGGGCCTTCTTCTAGTGAGGGCTTGTCGGCATGTTTTCATTCAGTTAGGTCTCATTTTGTTCTCAACTATCTTATGGTTTCAAAAAACTGTGATCTGCTAACTTACCTGGTTTATTCTTGGCATTAGAGTGTGTATAGTCTCGTGACTTTCTATATCCCAGCCAGAAGCAGAAGGCTCCTACAGGTTAAAGAGTGTAACCACCACTCCTATTAGCAAAGGATACTTCTAGCACCCTAGAAGCTTCCTGCCTTGTACACTTCCACAACCAGGCAGTATGTCCTCTGCCAAAAGTAACCGGTGTTTTTTATCTCTATCACCGTAGATTAGCATTACCTGCTTTCGAATGTTACATAAATGAATGTCACTTTGTGTGTCTGGCTTCCTTTACTCAACATTATGCTTGTCAGATTCACTCTTGTTGTATATAGAAGTAGTTCATTTTTGCCATTGCTGAATAATATTCTGTTGTAAGAATTAACTACATTTTGTTTATTCATTCTGCTACACTTGGACACTAGGGCTTATCCAGTTGGGTTATTATGAATAAAACTGCAGTGAACATTCTTGTGCATGTGTTTTGGTGCATTTCTGTGGGTGCGTATACAGGAATTGAATTTCTAGGTCATGGAGTGTGTACATGTGCAGCTTGAGGACAAGCCTGCCCGTTTTCCAGAGTGATGGTATAGTTTACAACTGTGGTACAACTTCCCTCCCACAGTGGTGTGTGAAAATTTTAATTGTCCCACATCCTCATCCCCACTAGCACTTGGATTTTTTTCATCTTTTTAACATTTAGCCACTCTGATGTGTCTTGCATTACAATTTAATGGGGATATTCTTGCTGACTTATTTAGCGTTTTGATATCTTCTTTCATGAAGTTTCTGTTCAGCTTGTCAGTCTACTTTTCTATCAGGTTGTCTGTGTTTTTCTTATTGATTTATAGAAAGTCCTTATATGTTAAGATATAATATGAGTTCTTTCTTAGATAAATGTATTGTAAATATCTTCTGTCATTCTGTAGCTTACTTCTTTATTCTCTTAGTGGTGTCTTTTGATGATCAGAAATTTTTAATTTTAATAAAGTCCAATTTGTCAATTTTTTTTCATTATGGTTAGTGCTCTTGCATCCTATTTGAAAAAACTTTGCCCCAGGGTAATGAATTTCTCCTCCCCTCCAAAAAATATATATCTTCATATTATCTCTTGAAGCCTTTTTGTTTTACCTATCACTTTAAGTCTGTGATCTCTCTATCCGTAATTGATTTTTCATTTGCTATAAGATACAGATCAGGACTTTGTTTTCTTTCTTTATAGATATCTCATACCTTTATTGAAAAGATAACCCTTCTCTACTACATTGTAGTGGTTCCTTGTTATAAAACAGGTGGTTATGTTCGTGTGGCTCTATGGGTAGTTTCTTGATTATCTATGCTGTATGCTTGTTCTCTTTATCTATTCTTGCTCCAATACCATGTTGTTTTAATTAGTTTCTTTCTAATGTCTTAATATCTGATAAGTTCTCTGATCATAAAATTCTTTGAGATTTTTTTTGAGATTTTG